CTGTTTGCAGAGCAGGCGCGTGCAGAGGAGTGCCGGCACGCAGCTTTGCGCTTGAATCCGTTGTCCCAGAAAGAGCTGTATCCTCTGGGAAGAAGAACAAACCGAAGTCCAGAGCAGGAGGAATGGGCGCTGTTTTCTAGAGCAGAATGTGACAGCATCTGGATTTCACACAGAGAGAAGAAATATAATAACTTCCCTTTCCTTTGGAAATAAATTCTTCCCTTTGAATTTAAGCGTAGGGTGAGGAATCTGCCCTGTCTTGCTTCCCTGCATATCGCACGGGGGCAAAAACTCAAGGTGAAGAGCAGCGAGGTGGTCACGGCAGCTGACCGACTATTTATACGATGATAACTGTGTCTGTTGCTGACTCCATGAACCACATCCAACAGCATCTATTTCGGTGCCGAGGAGCCCTGACGGAGCACATTTTGATTAATAAATTATCCGGCGCAAGGTGTGTGATGGGTTCCCCTTTCACATCTCATGAAAGTCATCCGCTCCAAGTTCAGCAGCTCAGCGAGCCCAGGGCCTTTCGAGGATGTGGCTCCCCGATACAAACGGCCCTTCGTGTAAGGGGGGTGGGAAAATCTGCCTGTGCGGGGGAATCGGCTTCCCCTGGCTGACAGGTAGCTCTTCACTAGAGCTGGACAATAGCTGCATCTCTCTCTCCTACGATTCTGAATGGTGCTCAAAGGCCAAAGGGGTAGGGAGGAAGGAAGAGACATCAATGTCTTTTTTTTTTTGTCTTTTTTTTTTTTTTCCTGGGTTTGAGCCAGTATTTTTAATGGCCTTTTTAAACTGTGAGAGCATTGGCTGAGGGCAATTAAACATTATGGCCCTCATCTATAAAACCCCTCGTTATAGCAGTGTTTCTCCAAAATGATGCCTATGCCACCATCCGTTCCTCAATGAGCCTGGAAAAACACTCCAAATGGGCTACTGCGATCCATCCCATTGCTCCCAACCCTGGCTGCAGTGGATGTAGGAGCTGCTGCCGCCCCTGTACCCGCACACAGACGGAGGGATTGGAAAGTTTTCCTTCTCCTTTCACCCGCGTCATAACAAGAAGCTGGGCTTGAATGTCCTGAGCAAGCCTGTTCCTTGCCAGGTGAGAGCAACAAGTCTGCCAGAAATGCATTCATATTGCTGTCCCAAAGTTCGTTCGTTTTTTTTTTTTTTTTTTCCCCCTCACCTTTCCTCTGTCTTTTTGAGTATTTAAAAACATTGTCTGTTTTGCTTTTCTTCTCTGTGCACTGCCTTTTGATGCTCGGCCTTTCCATGCTCAGCCTTTCCCTTCCCAGTAGCCTGCCTTCCCATGGGGATGTCCTTCTCCAGGGGATGCTGCCTCCTAGGCAGCCTCGTGTTTATTTTCTGCCCTGCTTTTCTTAAAGCCGTACTTGCTTTCCCAGCACTTGAAAGCAGAGCTCCTCCTTTGCTGATGAAAGACCCATTTATTCCTTAGCTTTGCCTGCTCCATGCAGCGGAGCTGGATTGCCTGTGAACGTGCCACATCCTTGTTTGGATGGGGAAGGAGATGGAGGACATGTAAGCCTCTGTTTAGCAGAAACCAGAGCGTGGTCTTGGGCTCCCTTTTCAAACCAGAGGCATGGAAATGAAGTCCTTGGTCTCCACGTAGAAATGCTTTGGTGGCTCAGGCCAGACCTCAGGCTAGGCAGTAGGTGGCTCGGGCAGGGACACGTCCAGCAGCTGGAAACTCCTGAGCCATCATTGCCTGCCTGGTGCGGAGCAGGAGGCTGTGTGCACCATGGCGTGAGCACTGCTTATGGGAGAGCCTGTGAGGGGGACACCTTTCTGAAGGTCACTTGGCTTCCGTGTCAAGCGCAGCCATGATAGTTCCTGTCTGCGTCGGTGAAACAGTTTGCAGAGTGCAAACTCGGAGATGGAAAGGTCTGTGCCGTTCTGTGTCTTCTGGATCCACAGGATTATCTGGGGATCTTGACTGAGTTTGAAATGCCTGCTAAGATTCTCCATCCCCTCTGTGTTCTCCACCTCGTGTCTGTGCATTGCCATATCGCTTCAAAACCTGTGACGAGCAAACCCTGGTTTGCTCCGTTGGCGAGCACGGCAGGCAGCGCTGGCCACCGGCCATGCAGGCCATCGGCCGGAGCGCTGGGGCAGCGTGGAGAGGAGATCACGGTGTCCACCTGCCTCCAAGGCCACGGTGGGCACAGACCCCTGTGCCCAGGAGCAGTACAGAGAGCGGTGGAGCAGATAAAACAGCTTGAAAACCGTTCAGCTGGTGTGGCTGGCTGCACCGTTAGCTGCGGACTAAGCTGCGCCTAACCCAGGCTTGGCTTTTTCCTGGGTCAGGAAGCTGATGGAGAGATAACAGGAAAGAACCAGGTGGGGAGGGTGAGAGACTGGGGGGAGGGAAAGACAAAATTGGGTATTTTTTCCCTCACTTTTTTTTCTTTTCCCTTGCTCTGAGGAAAGTGAAAACATGTGAAGATGATTAGAGAGGTTTTTGCAAAGAAAGTGTCTTGGGGGAATGTGCGTTGTTCGGCAGCACGAGTACTTCATCAGGGATCACTGGCCAGAGGAATAATGAAACGATGGTTGGAGAGGCATTGTAGAGGAAATTATGAAAGGCCTCTGCGGGATGAGTTTGGATTCTGAGGCTAATTGGCAAACCCAGCAATCCCCTGCTCGAAGAAAGGCACCCCAGAAGGCATCAGACACGTAGCTGCCATCCGAGCGGTGCTGGGGAGGCTGAGCCTCTGGTGTGCTGCCTGGGATGGTATTTGGGTCCTAAATGTATTCATCTATCCTGCAAAAAATGACTGTGGTCAAATATGGAACACATAACACTACGAATTTTTAGGACACGGCGCTCGGTGCTGTGTTTAGTCCTTTGTGTCAAATGCCTGCCCTATTGACCTATTTCCACTAAAACCCATTGGTCTCCGCATTTACTGATGCCTATTAGCAGAAGAGTATTTTGTGATTAAAAAGGTATTTTATTACTCTTTATATTAGGGGGAGTGTACCAAGATCGCCCTGATGCATAAACTTTACCATGGCAACATGGCATCCTGGAGCATTTAAATGCCTTGCAGCACAATTCAATATATCTCGTGGAGTGTCCTTCAAATCTGGTATCAGAAGAAGTCTCCTAAAGAGTCAGCCATAAATTACACAGCAAAGGTGGGAAGTCAAGATGAAAAGAGGGGAATCCGCAGATCTTCACATATGGCAGCAAAAAGTTAGATTAAAAAAAAAAAAAAAAGCAAGGATGCTGCTTATATTTTAAGTAGCCATGCATCAGTTCGTTAAGCTGGCTAGCAGTCAGTGGGCCATTTTGGCCGGAGAGAAGAGAGGACCAAGGACAGAAATGGGAGGCATTTGGTCTGAGAGGACGACAGAACCTCAGTAATGGGGGCGAAAGGTGTTACGACACTTTGGGTTCTGGGAAAGAGAGGAGATGCTGGCAGCCAGCAGCTTGTGAAGGCCAGGGTGGCTCCCGGGGCTGGGAGGGAGGGGAGAGCCGGACCTGGAGGCTTTGGCCATCCCGCAAAAGGTGCAGCCATGGTTAAACGGGAGATCGGAAGGGAGCGAGGGGGATGCTGAGTGATGGGAAAGAACTTTCTGCGGCAGCAATTCTGTCTTGCAGCTCCCTTCCAGGGAAATGATGAATGTTGCGTGTGTTTTGTTCATGCTGACATCTATTGAGAAGACAGGGTTGGCTTTTTTTAATTTTTGACTGGGTTGAGTATAGCATACCTGCAGGGTTTCCTCTCTCCCGTTTGGGGCTGGATCAGGGGTTTCTGCATACCGTGAGACGAGGAGCGGCATGGTGCGGGTGGCCATCTGCCTGTGTGCAACCGCCTTGGTCATCACTAATTCAGCAGCCGCCTCTGGTATTGTGTCGGGCCGGCGTCAGGTATCCCAGGCTCCACATACCAACTGCTTTCTTTTGTCTGGCTGACAGAGAGAGCACCTGGGACTGTCGCAAGGGCATTCCCAGTGCTGGACATTTGTCTTTTTAGCATCTGCTGGCTGTGAGACTCGAGTGTTGTCTTAATCCTCTCTGGGTGTCTAGTTCCAGAGGAGGAGTCAAGCTGCGGATGGGATGCTCGACGGAGCAGCACAGCCCTCTGTGGCACCCTGTCTGGTTGCTTGCACATAAGGACTGTCACAGAGGCCAAATTTGGCTCAAGTAGAAGAAAATAAGGCAGCTGCACAGGGTCAACACAGCTGGCAAGAGCATAAAAGCAGGACAAGTGCCTATCGTACTTACACTAATACTCTCCCTGGCACCAAGTATGTCCAGCTAAGAAAGTTCCTGAGCTGCATGTGGCTTCTCTGTTGATAGGTTTTTTGTTTTCTTTCATTAACATCTACAGTCTCTCCTTGAGTACGTGTGGACTTTTATCATCCTCAGCATCCTCTGGCCGGAAGCCCTGCAGTTAAACTACCGCTTGTTATCATATAACAAATTACTTGTGAGCTTGGTCCATCTGCACCTTCCTCTGATTAACCTGGACTGATGTCCCCTTAGCCCATGTGTTTTAAGAGAAAGGCTGTGGCCACGCTGGGACATGGTGTCCTGTGAATGCAGGCAGTTGCTCAGAGGGGAGCACCTCGATTCGGCCCTAGTTTCGGCATGTTTTAACCAAAACCCTTTGAAATTCTTCAGCTGCCTGCAGCGTTTGCAACTTTATTGGCTGTTGGAAGGAAAACACTGTTTTGAACCTTGAGCTGGGGCAGGCGAGAGAAGGAGAAGACCATTACAGCCATTAAATTTTAAAGCACATTGAGATAATGTGCAGGGTTCGCAGAGCCCGCTGCAGCCTGTGCCCAGCTTGGAGCTCCTGGCCTGGCAGTGGGTCTGATCTGTAAAACCTCTCTTCCAAGCACCAGGTCCGGGCACATGTGGAGACTGGCATTCCTCATGCTTCCCTCTCTGCGTTCCCCCCCTGCACCATTCGGCATCGGCTGTACCAGCTGCTTGTGCTCACGCTGCTTCTTCTTTTCCCCAGGTAACACCAACAGCATCTTTGCATTGGACTACATCAGCGGAGCCTTAACCCTGAATGGGCCGCTGGACCGGGAAAACCCCTTCTATAGCACTGGATTCATCCTCACGGTGAAGGTGAGACCTCCTCCATGTGGGAGACACACCGACAGAGCAGGACGGGGAGGGCACCCTGCTTGGGCACAAGCGCTTTGAGACGGAGGCACAAACCTGGGACACGTTGCTCCTGTGGGCATCCAGAGCTGTGATGTGCTGTTCCCCAGCCAAGCCAAGCAAGATGTTTCTTGTATGGTGGCCCAAAACGTGATTGATGTTTAAGGTTATTTTTGGTGCCCTGCCTTGCCTGCAACTAGATCTCCCTGTGGCTCTATCTGCTGGCAGCATGCAGATGCCCTGGGATTGCAAATAGCACAAGACACCTACATTCAGGCACCTGGGTTGTGCCCACTTGTGCCTATTTCCCACCCTTTCCCACCCCAAAACCCCAGAAAAGTAGGAACATTGTGTCATGGCAGCAGGCAGCAGTGTAACAGGGCATTGTCTGCATCTGCCCGGCACAGGCAGGCACAGGGAGGGAGCGATGCTGAAAGTTGCCTTGTCAAGAAAAGGCATTGGAGCGTGGTCTTCCAGCCCCACCAGCCCCACCTGAGAGCGGCTCCCCGGCTCCGCTCGCAGCCCTGTAATTAAAATCAATACCAAGCTGGGCAGCTGGTTGGAAACATATTTAGAAGTATAGATTCTGCTGGGCCGGGGTGGGGAAAAATCAGCACTGTAGGAAGGGTCATTGATTGGGAGGGCGGCAGCCAGCGCATCACCTTCTCGTTCTGGCAAGTGCAACGCTTTGTCAGGGGGGCAAAAGGACAAGAAATTACCCCTCGTGGTCCCAAGCACAAGTCGTACTGTGGGGCTTTATGCACAGGGAAGAGATCCACATCCATCCCTAGTATCATTTGGTTTGAGCTTTTATAGTTTAAATTCAGTAGAAATCCATAGAGGGAGGAAAAAAAACATACACACGTTGTCTGTTTTTAATAGGGACAAAAATATCTGTTTAATCTTGGAAAGGTTTTTGAACCTGAAAACTTGCCCATTTTCCTGCCTGCATGATAATGGAGTTCCAACTATATTCTCTTGATCCGATAGATTTTTATTTCCTCTCCCCACAAACTTTGCATCCTCCTGCAAATGCCAACTCTGTGCGTCCCGCATCCCCAGGACCCAAAATGTTCTCTGCCGCTCTCATCCTGGAGCACGCAGTGAAAATACAGCTGGATTGCTCCTTGTTCGGATCAGCCTGTTCTGCTGTTGTGTGCAGAAGCGGTGAATAGCTATGAGCCGTGTGGGTCGTGTTAGCGTTGCTTTTCCATGCCCACAGCAAAGCAAGATTATCCAAAGGACAAGAGGGAGGGACTGTGCTTGAAAAGGCTGTTTCACAAGTCTTGCTTCTCTGGCAATAAAATCTGCAGGCTTTTCTTTTGGGAAAGCAAAATTGAAGTCCTTCTTGAGACAGAGGTGCGATACAGAGTCGTGACTCAGATCTGTATTTAGACACATGTTACCAAACCTATTTTAAGGTCTAAATCTTGTTTTCCTCTGTTGCCCTAGTTTTCTGTCCCTTCAATAGTACTATGGTGGTTAGCTCCCTGCTCCTGGTCCCACCTCTGGAGGATGCAGAGGGGAAAATAGGAATGCTGTTCACTCCCTTGTGGCTTCCCTTATTTTGAGGACCGTTTCCCACATCTGGAAAGGCAATTTTCTGGTTTAAATGCTTGTGGCAGGGAAATCACCTGCTCATCCCCCAGTGTGACTCCAAGTCCTGACAACCTGTTGTATGGTAGGGCCAAGTGATTGCGTGGTAGGGCCAAGTGAGAACTTGGCCACAGCCACGCCAAGGGAAATGTTAAACCCCTGGGAAGGGAGCAGGTTTGCGAGAGTGCTGTGGGTCTGAAGCATGGGTGATGGAAAAACTGGGTCAACATCTCCATGTGTTAATGGGTCAGCGATGTGGAAAGGTGCTCAAGGTTAAGGGGCAATGGCAGAACAAGATGAACATCCTTCCTTGGCAAAGTGGAGGAAGCAAAAGCTGCAAGAGTCCCTAATCACGGCGTGCACACTTTTACATTTTACTCTTTGAAAAAGAAAGGCTGCCCTGTTGTTTTCCCTCCTTGCAGGCGACAGAGCTGAACGATGACCGCACACCCTCCAACGCCACCGTCACCACCGCCTTCAACATCCTAGTTATTGACATCAATGACAACGCGCCCGAGTTCAACAGTTCGGAGTACAGCGTGGCCATCCCGGAGCTGGCCCAGGTGGGCTTTGCCCTTCCCCTCTTCATCCAGGTGCAGGACAAAGACGAGGTGAGATACCGCCTGCCGTGGGTGCTTCTCTCCACCCTTTGTAGGGTAGCACTGGTGCGGTTTTGGGGGATGCAGGGAAGGATAAGGCACTGATTATCCTGTGATGAGGTGCGTGGTTATGTCCCGATACCCATTTTTTCAGCTCTTACTGCTGCCCTCGCTCCACTTGCTCGGTCCCCCAAGTGCAGCCGCCCTCCCCAGAGCACAGCCACAGCATGTGCTTTAATGCAGTCAGGATTGCACGGCCACCGAGAGCCAGAAAACAGGATTGTGTGGGATGCTGATTCTCGCCTGCTTCCGAGAGCTCTTGTCAGGCAGTCCTTTGCCAGCCTGTTTTAGAAAGGGAGGAGTTTTTCTGCCGGGGGTCCCAGGGGACTTGCCAGGGAGGGGAAGGAAAGGACCTGCAGGCTCTCTGCCCCAGGGGGGACAGCTACTGCTGCTGTCAGGGGACGAGATAAGAGATACCTGCCAGCGTGGGGCTGGAGGAAGCCTAAAGGGACTGGGATACCAGCTCATCACTGCAAACGAGCCGGTAGCGTTGGGGACTTGTTCCTGCATCGTGTTAACAGAGCTCCTGTTTATTACCACGGCAGGATTGTAGCATGTTCTCCAGCCCTGGGCTTGCAGCCTTCAATTACTCTGATTATTTGACTCGTGCAGTTCATGTCTGGCTGCTTCTGTGTGCTGGTACCCTCCAACCCCACCACGCTGCCTGGTGTCTGCTTTAAACAAGTGCTGACACCTCATGGTGAACTTTCCGAAATCCCTCAGAAAGGCGCTGGCTGCTGAGGCTACAGGCTCCTTCCATCCCTATTCCTCTTCAGGCCAAGCGACAGATGAGGGGAGAGGGTTTGTCAAAATAAACGGCATCATCAGGATGTTTTCCTGATGCTTCAGGTAAACAATGTGGTGGCACCAAGGGATATGAAACAGAACATCTCCCCCTGCCCCCCGAAATCCCAGTGGGTCAATTAAAATGTGCATCTTCTAAGATGCCTTTGCTGGCTGAAATGATGGATTTGCTTTTCCCCAGCCCTGTCTGGAGTTCACAAAGTCTCGTAAAGCCACCCAGAAATCCCATTTTTTTCATGTGGAGTGATTATGACACAGAACTAATAATCTACTTGTGACATGATGTCACCATCCGAGAGTTATGAGTTCAGCCTGAAGAGGTGCAGATGAGCTATTAAGCAGATAAAGAGACTGTTTTTTCTTGAAAATGTCAATTGCTAATAAAGAAGATATGGATATGACAGATGCTTAGGATAGTTTCTGAATAGAGCCGCTGTCGTGCTTTCTGAGAGATGTCAGCAGATCCGTTCTTGAAGGGCATTGTAACACTTCTGTTTGTGCCAGGAGGATGAAGGATCTGTCATTACTTCAGGTTAAAAGCTCATTTTACTGGAGTGACTCCCATTCAAGAATTCACTTTTCAGCCTTGCTAATTTTAAAATGGGAGAATAAAAAATAGCCTTGCCTTCGCAATCGCACCAGCAAAAAATAGACTCATTCTTTTGGTGTATTTCTTTAACTTCCTGAGATTTCCCCAAAAGAATTGTCTGAGATTTTTAAAACTGCTGAGAGAGGACCTCTTGCACGAAGGGAGTCTGAAGGAGTTTTACTGTACTCATCTTTGGAGACCCTCATATTAGCATGGATTTCTTTGACCGTGTCATTATTTTCACTGATAAGCAGCACAGGAGAGCTGATGTCTTGGAATATCTGGAGGGAGGAAAGCTATAAGCAATTGTTTTTGGGGTTTTTTCTGCATTATCCTGTGGTGGATCTTTCTTATTTCCCCTCGTGGATGCTTGCAACTGGATTAACCATCTACGTAGCACTTTAGGGGAAAAAAATGGGGAGAGGATACCTAGGTAATGAAAAAGATGTATGTGAGATAGAAGTGGGACTGCATCTGGAGCCAGGCTTGTTCTAGCACTGTTTCCCGGGCAATGTACTTAAAGAAGTCCCAAGACCCCCCAACTTTCGGTGAAAAACTTAGAGAAAGGGAAAATAGTTGCCTGATGGTGATATTTTGGATGCTCAAGTACCTCATGAGAGTCACGAGCCTTTTACAGACCGTCTGGATTTGGGGTAGCCGGGCTGATGCCAGGCTCTCTCAGCTTTCTGTGGGTGCAGGGATGGGATGGTGAGGACTGAGGTCTTCAGGCAGTGATGTGACTGAGGACATGGCTGACAGAAGCTATTTCACTAACAGCCTTCATGCTGGAGATGACACAGTTCGTTTGTGTAAGGGGTAAAGGAAACAAGAAGAGAATTATAGATGTCTCTGGGGAGAGCAGCTAAATAAAAAAATGAGAGCAGGTGGATAGAGACACATGAAATTGAAGTTAGAGTCTTCAGGAAGATCATTTTGCTCAAGTTTTGTCTCCTGCCTCCCAACCTATGTTGTTAAGTCCTGAGAGAGCCCCTTGGCAGGTTGGTTTCTTTCTTGAGCCAAGCCATCCAGTCTTGTTCTGGCCACTCCAGCAAACTTTGATGCTGTTCCTTCAGCCCTCACGCTTATTGAGGTCCTACTTAGATGGAGCAGCCCATACCTGAACTTTGCCCCACGCAGGGATCCATCACACCCTGGTTGTGTCTTTGTAGAGCTGGGGAAAGGGGTATCATGTGGGTTTGGCCCTTAAAACACACTGCGTGGGTTGCCAAGGCCGTTAAACAAGAAGGTCTTTTGTAACCAGGCCCACGCGGCCTTTTTAAATGTTGGGGTTTTGGTCTTTCTTTCTTCTGGTGTGTTTTGTGCAAACTTAAATGATTGCTTTTTGAAGGGCTTAGATTAAACGATTCAGCAAAACACTTAAAAATGTATTTACATTGCACACAAGACCACGCTTGAAAGCCTGTGCTTGAATTTACCTCTGTATTTAAGTGCCTTTCTGGAGCTAGGCTGGCATTAACGTCTCAGACAAGGTACCTAAGCGGGGTGCCTCCAAGGAGAAACCCATTCCTCTGAGTCTGTCCCTTGCAAACTCCCAGCTGCCCTCCCTCAAACGTGGTCACGGTCTTGCTCCAAGAGGAGCTGGCTGGGGGTGCAAGGTGGGACGGGGAGCATCTGGAGAGGATGCACCCGGGTTGAGCTGAGCTGATCCCAGGCGTGGATTTGGGGTGTTCAACCGGGTGTGCTGGTTTCTCTTTTTCCATTCTCTAGGGCGTATCAAAAACACGTGAACGCAGGTGAAATCAGTACACAGGGTTTGCATAGGGTTTTGGACCCAGCCTTCTATGAACCAAGAAAAAAAGCATTAACCTCTGTGCAGCTGAGCTTCTCTCTCTGCCAGATGGACTGCAAACCACCTGAATACCTTTCCAAAGCCGTTTGAGAGCTGGTCATGAAAATCTGTGGAAGTTTCCCAGTGTTTAGACTGAGCCTATAGTCAGCTGGACACTGCAGAAGACCACAATGTATATACACGCCCGGGCAGGGGTTGGATTTTCCCCTCATTCATGTTCCGATAGATCAGCAGGGGCAAATAAATCCTGTGTGTGAGATGGAAGATTAAAGCCTTGAATTACCCAGTTCTGCAGCAAGGTTTGTTTCCAGGTTGAGAGCAAGTGCCCCGAGCTGTGGAACAAGCTTGTGTTAATTCGTGGGGCTGTTGAGCTCAGGCTCATCTGCTCCAAGGCTGGCTGAGGTGAGGGACATGGATATCCTTTCAGGATATACTGGTGGCTTGAATGCAGTATTTCAGGGAGAAGGCAAGAGTTTGGCTGTGCAGGAAAAGGAACAGGGCATCCCTCATTTGGGCTTCCTATCGCTGCAAGATCCTCAGAGATGTATTAAGAGAAACGGCAGCGGACTTTCCCAGGGCACACCAGAGAAACCAGCTCTTCTACCACGGCTTTTACTTGATTTTCCTTCACGTGGTTGACTGAAGAGGAAGAAAAGGGCAGAGACTGTATAAAGCACAAGTCTGATGGTTTGACATTTCGAAATAATTTTGAAACAATTCTCCAAAATAAGCATATTGAGGAAGATAAATGGGGAATTTAAAAAAAGAAAATCCAGGCCATGGGAATACACGGTATTTGTTGCATAAAGCTGCATCAGCGACTCGCATAGGGATATCGTATGTGCCCATGTGTGTGCAGGTGCAATATATGAATCATCAGTAGCATATATATGCATATGACAGACATGCGCACTATAAATATGATCTACAGAGCAAAGAACTGTAAAGGGGAATTGACGGCGCTCAAGTATTCTCTCCCCAAAGTGCCAGCTGCCAGTCGGGCTGAATTAGATTTCACAGGGGTTTTTGCAATACACGGAATTCACCAGCAAATTACCCTTAAAGAGGGAAAATCAATCATTTGGAGCAGAGATAAGCTGAAGGCGAGGCAGCCTCGGATTGATCCCGTCTGTGCAGGCGTGTGTGGAATTCAGCAGATAACCTGGGGAGAGTGGGGAAGGAGAAAACTCTTCTGCGGGGGAAGCCAGCAAGGACTGCCACTTAGGATGGACAGAAAGATGGGAGAGAAGGGCTGCCAGCATGGGGAGGAGGATCAGAAAGGCTGGGGAGGAGGATCAGAAAGGCTGGGGAGCATTTTGTTCCAGGCATCCTGCATCACCTGTGACCACAGTTGAGGTCCTTAGGGGTGCAGGGGACGAGCTCCCAAGCCCAGTGAGCCCTCAGATGGGTCATGGATGCTGTCATGCTTGGGTGCCGAGTGGGAAATGCTGGGAGCAGGCAATGGGTGCTGGGAGCCTGAACTGGCTGGGCAGCGGGAGAGAAGCAGGCAGCTGTGAAGGTGCTGTTCAGAGCACTCAAGTTAAATGCCTTTAAGTGGGTGAAGAGAATAACCCTCTTCATGCCTTGTGTTTTCCAAGGAAGGATTATGCATTATTTGTCTCTGACTAGCTAGAACCGGGCATAAGGTATCCAGGCTGTACAAAGAGGCAGTAATTGCTTTTTTTCTCAAAAAAACAAGCCTCTTTTTTTTTTTTTTTTCCCTTCCTCCTCCACCACTCCTGAACTCCTAGCACTTTCCTTTCTTTGCAAACTTGCCAGAATGAGGGATATTAAACACTCCCCACCTCTTTGTAGGTAATAGCCCGTGCCTAGAAAGTGGCTGGGAGGAAAGCTGGAGTTATGCTGGATTTTGTGCTTCAGAAAGGCAGGGCTCTCCATTTTGGACAAGGAAGCTGCAGCTGAGCTGGGGAAGAGGGAACCCAAGGGAGCCCTGTACCAAGTCAGCATGAAGAGAAGAAAACTGAGGATCCCAGGCTGCTTTTTCTAAACCTAGGAGAGATTTGTGCTGAAAATGAGCACAAACCTACCAACCTACCTACCACCACCCTACCTACGCACCTCAGTGATTTCAGGGAGTGGTACGGTTGAGGAAGGGTTGTTGACTTGTCTAGGGGGTTTTGATTATTTATTTTTTTTTACTTCAAGTTTCTGTGTAGCCATTGGTAAGTGATGCTAAATACTTTGACTGGTGGAAAGTTGAATAATTTCTGAAGCATTTCCCTGTGCACTCCCATAAGGAAGGGGCTGGGTGGGAGCAGGAGTGATGGATGAAGCTAGTGGGCAACAATCAGTGAAAAAACAGGGTTAAAGTTTATGATCCATTCTCGGCCAAAACGAGAACAGCTGATGTGGCTGCTCCTGGCCTCCTGATGTGAGAATATGTTCCCTGATTCGTGGTGAACCATGCCCTGTGACCGTGTCTTGCAGGTTGGGAGAGCAGACTTTTGGCCACCATTCATAGCAGGTGCATGAGCAGGTCCCACATGGTGCCTGGGACCTCTGGAGGGACACACATACCCACCTCTTGGCATCTCGCAGCCTCACGCCTGAGCTTCTGCCCTCACCTGCCAGGCACTAGCTGTGCCCAGGGATGGTCTCCCCTCTGCTCCAGCCCCCTGAAATTTAAGAGGGATATTGGGCACGTGGGGCTGGCAAACAGGTCCGTCGCAAACTGGTTCAGATATGAAGCCTTTGGGGCACGTCAATCAGCGGTCGCTTGTTTGGAAGTCAAGTATCAGCATGAGGTTGACGCTGGCATTGTGGCAGCAGGAACACGATGCGGCTCCTATTACACGCTCCAAGGAATACGCACGAAGAACAAAGTAATAATTACGCCCAACTGCAGCTACGATTGTCTTTTAGCTGAATTGACATGAAATTTCCATCAGTTGTGGCGCCGGTTATGGCTGGGAGGAGGTTTTATTGCTGGGAAGGAGGCAGCGGGCAGCAGCCTCGAGCCACGGCAAGTGCTGGCCCCATGTGCTGGCATGGGATGAGACGAGCTGGGAAATGTGCGGCCATGTCCCAGCTTTGTGCAATAGCAAACTTCCCTCCGAAGCCTCTTTCTTTATGGCTCCATTTGTTTCAAATGGAGGGTGCATGCAGACGGGTTTATTATTGTAGGGTTGCTAAGCTTTGGCAGGCTACTCGTTAATTTATGCCTCTAAAGGAAGGCAAAAGGAGCCAATTTGTTTTCAGTGATGGGAAAAACCTCGAGCGATACAAGAGCTGGTGGGTAAGGGGTTGGAGGGGCGAAACGAGCAGGTAAAGCAGGTCATGCACCCATAGCACACCCACGCGTCCCGTGCTCATCCCCGGCAGCGCAAACAGATGATGCTTGGCCGTGAGCCCACCACTGCGACCCGGGACCTTTGGGAGCCCGGGGAGGCAGTGCTTGTTTTAGTTCCTCATGAACAGTTTTCAGATCCGTTGTTTGCTCTGGGTGGCAGGAGCAGGTAAGAAGGGGTTAGGAAAATGTAAGCAGCTCCCTGTGGCTTCCTCCGGAGCAGGGGGTGCTAGCTGTGAGCCAGGCTGAGCCAGCCCCTTCTGCTGGGCAGCTGATAACAATATGAATATTCAGATTTGCTTTCAGCCATCCGCAGGGGGCTCGCAGGCTCCGGGAACTAGGAGCAAGGAAAGCAGCATGGGGGCAGAAACAAAAAAATAAATAGCTGAATAAATATATAAATGGCAACTGACAGCAGCCCTCCCGAGAGGCAGATGTATTCCCCTTCTCCAGACCTCACATGGGGAGACTGAGGTACTCGAGGGGCGGCTAATTAGGGGTGGTGGCTATCTGGAGGCTGATCTCCTTCCCCAGCTGGAGAGGAGTTAATCCACCCGGCTCTCTTCCCACAAATACTTGGGTTTCTTTTGATGTTTCAACTTTTATCTCATGCCTCCAACAAACTCACTCCTCTCCGGCTTCCAAGAAAATCCCTCACATCTCGCCACCATGAAAGATGCTTTCGTGTACTGTGGGGAAGGCACGGGGCTCCAGGAGAGACATTGAGGGCTCGGCAGCAGAGCTGCGCAGAAATTCCTCAATGAAGTGTCTTTTTGTCGCTGGTGGGAAACAGTTGTTTGTTATAAATCGGCATCTTAAGGGTAAGGTACAGAACAATGGCTTTGGGTTTCCCCCTGCCGCTCTCCGTATCCTCTGCTCCCTCCCTCCCAGGCTGTGTACCGGTGTCGGGGAACATCCCTCACTCGTACCGGGGTTGGCACTTCACAGTTTGCCAGCAAAACAGCTTTTGGAAGGAGCTAAGTCTGCCCCAGACAGGTCCCTTTTGTTCCTCTGTAGGGATGCTCCCTCCCTGTTGTCCCCCAGCTGAGCATTGATGGGCTCCTGAGGCCGTGGGTGCCCTCGGGGCTTGCTCCTGCAAGCGTGGCTCCCTGGAGATGCTCAGCTTGCCCCCCCGGCTCCGCCGGCTGCTGGGGGGCATGGCAAGGAGGAGGGCAAGCAGGGATTCTGCTCTTGCTGACGGCTCTCAGCAGTCACGCTTAGCCAGGTTTTGCTGTTAGTGCCCCTTCGTGCATTTAATTGGTCCCTTTTTCTGATAGGAGGGAGGTCATTTGGGGAAAATTGGAAATTCGGCTCTGGCAGCTTCTGAACTTGCTTTTCATGCGCTCTGCTGGGCCATGCTTTGGGAAGGGGTGCCGTGCCTGGAGCGAGGGCCCCGAAATGCTGCTGTTGATATGTTGGTGATCCTGCTGCTCAGCCACGTCTTGGGAGAGGATGAGTTTTCCAGTTCCCAGTTTGAGCTGTCTTACTGGAAGGAGTCCTCGCTTGGAGAGGCCTCTGTGCTGTGCTCCCCAGCACAAGGTGATGAAATCCCAGCGTGTGATACCCTGCATGGCGCGTGGATCTCGAAACAGTAAAAGAGATTTTCCCTCCAGCTGTGTGCTGTGCAGGTTTATCCCAGGGATGCATTCCTTTCATGTGCACATAGATTTTGTATGAAATGGGTACACGAAAAGAAGATTATAGAAATCGTATGCATCATACACCCAGTAAGTGTAAGAAAACACAACAGAGTGCTCTAAGGTTGGTGCCGAATCCTGTGACTCAGCTAACCAAACCCAAGCAGATAAATGCTCCCCTGCATCTCCGGTAATTGCGTTTTTACATGTCTGAAGGCAAAGGGCTGTGCCCAAGCTGCTGGCGCTGGCAGGTTTGTGCTTTGCAGTCGGGTCGGTGTTTTTTGTCCCGCGCTCGCGCCCAGGCTGGCCCCGCCCCCAGCCTTCCCCAGCGGCTACGCCAGCTCCTTCCTCCTTTGTCACTGTCCACCTTCCTCTCTCCCTTCCCAGGGACCCAACAGCGTTTTCGAGGTTTACCTGGTGGGCAACAACTCCAACCACTTCATCATCTCACCGACCTCCATCCAGGGGAAGGCGGACATCCGCGTCCGCGTGGCAGTGCCACTGGACTTTGAGACCATTCCTCGCTACGAATTTTCGGTAGGGCTGCACCCCTGTGCTCTATGGGACATCCATATTTTTAGGAGTGACTTGAGAATTACCATTAACCAGGCTTCTCTCTTCCTCTCTCTAATCCACGCTGTGAAACTCCAGAGCATTACAATATGGCAAAAAAATGGAAGTAATAATAAAGAAAAGAAGGAGGTGGGAAAGAGATTTGCTCTGCACCTTCTCTCCCTTTCCAGCATCCAAAGGCTCAGCTGCCAGAGCTTAAGCAGAGCATGTTCCCCCTCCCTATGTCATGGGGCCGTAAAAGCTTTATAGAGCATAAAACTTTGTTTTAAGTGCACCTATCAGGCAGCAAAGCTCTCCCCAGCCTCCTGCTCCAGCTTTGTCCTGCTCTCAGCCTGAGATATAAATTCTTAAGGAAGGCAAAGCAGGCTTATACCACATCAGCGTTCTTAATCCCGGCAGAGGGGCTTTCATACACTGGTGGAGAAAGATGAGCAAAAGCCTTCCTACCCTTGCTTCAGGCTGTGGTGGGGTGGCCGGTCCTGGTTCTCCAGTTTGCCAGGCAGAGGCTGGGGCTGGTTGGGGCAGGTGGTGCAGGGTGTTTGGCTCACACAAGGTCAATGCCAACTAAGCAGCTCCTGGGGGAGAGGGAAGGGGCTCTTTTCTTCTTTTGAGCATACATGCTTCAGTGGTTACCACTGAGCCGGCTCATTGGGTGGGGGAGCCCAGGAGAGCGTTGTTTTCTCCATTACAGAAGAATAGATAACTCTCCCAGGCTTCGCAAACGGTGTCTCCAACCCTCCCCTTCGCTTCCTCTCTCTGCCCAGCTCTTTGCAAACGAGAGCATCCCGGACCATGTCGGCTTCGCACGAGTGAAGATTAACCTCATTAACGAGAATGACAACCGCCCCATTTTCAGCAAGGCCCTGTACAACGTCAGCCTCTTCGAGAACACCACCGTGGGCACCACCGTCCTCCAGGTCCACGTGAGTAGGAGCATCCTGCCTCTCTTTGCCAAGTCCTTTGCTCTGCAGTGCCCATCACCAAGGGATGGATTGGGGAGCCTGGTAAGGGAGCATCAGGACATGCTGGCGGTGGGGTGGGTCATAGTCCTCCCATGGACTTTTGGAGCAGATGTCTTGACTTTTCCTGGTGTCTGGGTGATGTGTGTGTGGTTGCCACCACACCGGGAGCTCAAAGAGAGCCCTGCCCTGAAAGGTCTCATCTGCAAACAGCGGCTTGGCCTGTAGATGCTGATTCCAATGGTCATGGTCTTGTCTCTCCCTCTTCCTTGCTGCGTGGGATCCACCAAGTATTTCAGTTGTGTACATGGCTTGTGTCCCATCACGTATTCACTGCTTCTCTCTTACCTTAATTCTTATTGGAAAAGATGCTCTGGTACCTGATGAACTTGGTTGCTTCATCAGTGAGAGTGAGCGCCCAATACGTATCTTTCAGTGTGGGCTTTCTCACTGCCCCATTTGGAAGCATCATCTTCTTCAACCAAATAGAGGTCAGTTGAGCCAATAAACGGGTGAAGGATGGAAAAAGAGGGGAATGACTGTATTTAAGAGAGCGTGGTATTAAATGGCTGACGGCAGAACGGTGATGCAGCAGACAGAGATGGTGACAATAGAGAGACATTTCCATAGGGCTGGCAAGAAGGTATGTTTTCTGGGGCGCAAGGGTGACGTCGGTCGATGTCAGCACCCATGTGGGGCACAGCAAGAACGAGACCAAAACCCTGTGCTGAAAAACAACCTAAATAGGAAGCAAAGCTCCTCTGGGATGGGTAACGTCAAAGAGGGAAGGCATCAAAACTCCTGATAGGTTTTGGGTGCGTTACTACTGCTATCGTTAGTTATAGATGAATTTGGTGCCCTCCCGGCCCCACCTTGCCCCCACGCTCCTGGGACTCAGCCCCTGGTTGCCCATCCGCGCGGGCATGCCGATCCAGAGAATAAAAGCCCTGACAAAGGGGTTGGGTGTATGCGCCTGTGTGTAAGTGTGTTTACTCTACAAACAGATGGTGTGAAACTGTACAGAGCCCCTGAGCTGTTCCCATCTGACAGTTATTAATATTTCAAGCAGATGTTTCGCTAGTCAAGCCGTCAGACGCTAAACAATGAGATTGTTACTGCGTCTCCTCTTTCCCCAACTTCCAGCTATGCCAGCATTTTGGAGCGAACGCAAAATGCCAGGAGTTGTATCTTCTATGATAAATCAGAATGGATGCAATTAGCGCTGGAATCCAGATTGCCCTCCCAGCTGATCCCAAACTTTTAACAACCCTCATAAAGTACCAGCTCCTCCTGCTGCTGCCGCTCGCCTTCGAGATGCAGCCCTCTGCTCACTTCCACGGCGCTGCCCGTCTGCACGGTGCCTCTCCCAACTGTCCTACGTGCCGCAGACAAAAACTCTGCTTTCCTTGCTAATAAATTCCTCCTGTTTTTTTTTTCCTTCTTTTCCGCTTCCCTGGGAGCTCTTTATGGGTACTCACCCATCAGGGTTAGGGATGGGTTTTTGAAGAAAGCCTGGCCAGCCACAGAGAATGCCCGCTGCTTTGGTGGACTGCTGAATGACATCCTTATGAAAGGGGACTTTTGTTGGCTCCCCCCTTGCTCAGTGCTGCAAAACGTCCCTTTGTGCAAATAAGTTCAGGTTTTGTGCCGTGCGTTTGGAGGGGCGATGGGTTTCCAAGGTGCTAAGGACAAATCAGGAGGTTTACGAGCCTGGGATGAGCAGGGGAGCGCGTGGGCCG